GTTGACCGGATTACTTTGAGCGCTTAGATTATTTCAGGTAATTGAAAAATGCGTTTTGAAGCTTTTATCTTTAGCTGCTAAGGGATGAAGAGAACCTGAACACTTCAGAAAAACAAATTTTTGAGAATATTATTCAAGAACTGTGGAAGTAAGCATGCATACAAGTTGATATTGCATACATGTGGTTCCATTAAATACAGAGTTCATTTAACAGATTTGTACCTGTTTATTATCCATTTATCATTTCTCCCAAAAACAAAGCAGCATTGTTCCACTCAGCAGGGAGGTAGGTATCTGTCAAATGGCCAAGAAAGCCTCAGTTAAGGCAGAGGATGAGAGATTTAAGTCAAACCAAAACCATGTCCCGTTTGTCCTATGACTCACTGCAGATTATTTATTGAAATCTGTGCTTCACACTACCTCTTTTAAAAAGGGCATATTACGCATATTCACTCTGCATCTTTTATTTAACTTAAGTCAGAAATTAGAAAAATCCCCAGCTCATTATATTGTTTGTCATATTACTTTAAAGTTAATCAGTATGGCTGCGCCTCTGCCATTGAAAATTTTAAAAAAGTATTTTAAAAAAATCTTATTTTGATGTTCACCTACTATTGCTATGCCAGGTAAGAAGTTCTGTGCAAGCTGGTTTTGTAACCCAAAACCCCGGCTGTGAGATGCCAGGCACAAAAACTCTGCTAGACCTTTTGGAGCCCAGTCAACATACACATTTTGTTGCTACAATCACCAGGTGGCAATAGATCTACCTGGTATGTGGGAGAGATTAATGTACAATCATACATGAAAGTCAGACTTATAAGCCCTGTTTGTGCTATTCATGCACAAAGACACAATAAAATAAAACAAATAATATCACACTTCTGCAACAAGGACTTCGGGATGAACAGTACAGTAATACCAAGGTCAGCCAGTTTTATTAGTAGCAAATTACTTTATATCAGAAGCTAAGAGCTTGCAAGAACAGCAGAATTCCATGATACATTCATCACAACAGGCATAAGAAGATACATAGAAGAGAAGAAGAATAGGCATAGAAGATATAGAAGATACTTAGAACATACATTCACATCCACAGGGTCACTTAAAGTCTGAGTGGTGCCCATTTTCAGGGCATATACTACGTTACAGTTACAAGGTTATGTCAAAAGATGACATCAAATCCAGGCTTTCTGGTTTCAGCAAAACCCTGTCAAAGAAATATTTAATAATACCATAGAGATTTCTCATTTGCACCATTTCTGCTATTTATATTGCAGTATGTCATTCACTACTCTATTCTATTACATACACTAGGGTATGTAATAAAAGGCAAAGAAGGTAGTTTAAAATTTTTGGTCTATAGATACCTTGGAATTAGTTCTTTAAAACAGTCATACACAAGCAGAAAGGATTAACAATATGCACTGGCTCAAAGCCAAACTGTTTGAGATACAGTTTTCCAATACTATCAAAATGTTTACAATACCTTGTGTAAGCCAGAATAATTTTTAAGTATTTGCATAATCTAAAAATTTGAACCAAACCACCTTACCTAAAACCTGAGAGATATTTTCTTTTTGCCTTGGAGCTCATTACTGTGCAGTGTTACAATAGCCATGTTAGTTCTACCCCTATTTACTAATTAGGGCTGGGAACCTCCTCAAATATTGACACATCCTGTCCACCAAGATCCACAGGACTCTAACCAAGTGCACCAGTGGCTTAAGCACAATACCTCACACTTCAAGGAGCACTCATCAAGGCAGATTTTAGACCAAACCATTAGAGAAATTTGGATTATTCCCCTCCCCTCAGCAAGGCACCTTAAAGGACAACACATAAAGGAACAACATTCAAGTCTTGTGACAAACTAGACTATAGAGACTGTGGAATCAACTACAGGGTACAGCAGCTGTTTTACTATCCACTCCAGGTTATTCTTCTCAACCCCAGTGAGCCAACCAACCATGTAACATTCATATTAAATACAGCATTCTATTCAATCACAGAACACTTAGCTCGGTTTACCTCAGCAGTTACATCACTCTTTTAGTTCCTACTTTTTCCTTTTCATCTCCTGGGAATAGCTCATCGTTGCATTAAGTCAAAAATCAGTAACTGGGTTTAGTTGAAAGGAACAGTGTCACCTCTTGAAGTTCTGGGGATTACGACAGAGCTTGAATTAAACCCCATGTTACAAAGAAGTTGTTAATCTTACAGACTAGTCTTAAATTCGAGCATTAGATACTTCATTCCAGGCCTCAGGCAACAAGAAAGTCATTAAATCATAGTATTTTTTTAAAAAGCAGATATTTTAAGAACTAAAAAGGCACTCATTAATTAGTTAATATGAATGTTTAAAAATATATTAAAAATACCAAACCAAAAACCACCTTCAGTCTGCATCTACTCTTCTCCTGGCTAAATGCATGAGAAGATGCAGTTTTTCCAGGAGCTGTTACACTAAGAAAACCAGACACAAACTCAGAAACAGAAAGCTACCTTTTAGCTACTTTGTATTACAACACAAATTTGTACAAGCACAGGCAACTTTTGACTAAGCATTTAGTACAATTCCTGCAATCAACACAGAATTTTCTTAGCCTTCATTTATAGGCTACCTATTCAACCCACAGTCACCTTCAGGCTCATTTTAACCACAATCAGGGAAGCACAGAATTGACATACAGACATCTTTAAGCATGTAGCTCAATCAGCTCTAGAGCAGAAAAAGGCGTCCATATGCTCCACAGACAGACCACGAGAACAAAACTTCTCATTCCTGACACTAAATCATCCAAACATGTCACCTGGTAAAAATAACAGGTTCACTGATTTCAGACCAACATTCAAGTGGCTTGTCACAAGAAAAGAAGGCAGACATCTACCCAGTAGAAAGATAAATCATCTAGGTATTTTCTAAAGGCATTGTTTAAAAACATTCATAGACCACAATCAAAAAGCCATTTTATTATGATGGTATTTCAAAGGCATAAAAAAGAAAAAAAAATAAATCCAGATTTGTGAACTACTTCCCAAAGGCAGTTTGGAGCACTTTAGCACAGAACAGTCACAGCAAGGCGGCACCTGCACACCTCTTCTGCTCACCACACTGAAGCTGTGGTGAACAGAGATCAGGGATCTTTAAAATTATGCTGCACTGTGCTGAACAGACATGCTCCTTATGCAAATATGTGGTCCTGTTTAAGCTGATTCAGCCATAATTGGCAGAATAGAACTACTATCTTTGAAGGCAAATTGCAAGTTTGACGAAGTATAATTTCAGGCAGGTACAGGTATAAAACAGCCACCACATGAGCGTTCAGTGTTAATAACCTTAATAGTAAAGAATGCAATTAACAAATTTTGACCAACTGAAAAACAGCTGGCAAACTCTTTTAGTTTGAGAATGATCCTTTTGCTGCACTGAACCAGAATGAAAACTCAGTTCTTTACATAATGCAGCCTTCAGTATGGCTCTTATAATAATGCACTACTACTGCTTTAACTTTTAAAAGGGAAAGGTTTTTGGCTTCAAAGAAGAGCTGAACAGATGCTGGCATGAAATCCCAATTAGAAAAAGGGAATCCCTCCCCCACTCCCCAATATCAAGAGAGAACAGTCTCGGGCAGCCTCTTAAGCAAAAGGTCGTGGAGGACAACAGAAACAAAAGTGCCTAGCACATTCACGGCTCATTTTTTTACCCCAGACTGTGTCAAATTATCAAACTTACACAAACAGGCATAGGAAACGTAAGGAGTGGTGAAGTAGCTTTAAATTATCCTAGCTAATCTATAGTTTTAATCAAATAATTCAAGTGTTTAAAACTGCAAGACTGCATTTAGTTTTCAAAATGTTCGGTTTACAAAGGACAGCGTACACCACTTGTGTCTTTCTGGCTCCCTTTAGTGCTCAGGCAAAAGGATGACTAAATCTATCAGCTTCTGAGCCACTCCAAGCAGAGACAGCTGAGGACAGATACAGTACCCATTATGTTCTTCCCTAACCAGGTAGCCTCAGTGCACATAAAGAGATGTCTGTCTCTCACACAGACGTTTTGCTCTGGGACATGAGGAGATTCTTTCCATAGGCCAAAAAAGGGAAAGTTAAGATAGAAGGCGGCAACGCAAGACCAAGAAGCTTGACTGAGCTGGGTCATTACCAGTAGTCAGGAGGGCCTGAGCTGTCTAAAACCTCACTCTCCCCCGTAGAAACATCTACTCCCACCAAATCAGCATCGTTACCCGCCGGGATTTCAAAGCGAGGAAAATCCCACCTGCTCAAATTTAGGACTCCATCCTCACCTTCTTTTTTTTCCCCAAACCAAAGCCGCCACCACCACCGAGTGGGTCACTAAACTTCCCCGAGCAGGGAGCTCTCCCCTCCTACAGGAACCGAGCCAGTGTCGTCATCCCTCGCAAGCCCCGGCCCTGCCCTTTCCCGCCTGGCGCCGTGCAAGGAGAGCTTCACCTTCCCCGCGCCCGCCGCAGTGCCGTGGGGTGGGCGACCCGCACCCAGCGGGCTCCCCGGGGGTCATCCCCCGGCCGGCCCGTTCGGCCTGATCCCAGTACAGGCAGCCCCGCCGGCGCGGCCGCGGCACCACCGGTTCCCCCCGCCCAGACCCACCGCCCGCCATTGCCCAACGGCTCCGACGGGGATTCCAACCCGGCCGCCAGCTCGAGCCTCTCCCGAAGGCGGGACCCCGGGACGCGGAGCGGCCCTCACCTGCAGCGCCAGAACCTGCCCTTCGCCCGTGCCCGGCGGGGGTGGGGTGACGAAACGGCGAGAGCGCGGCGGAATCGACCCGACCCCTATGCTCCGCTCGGCGCCGCCGCCCCCGCCCGCCACCTGGCGCCCGCCCAGCCGTCTCCCCATTGGCCGAGAGAGCGGGCAAGCTCCCGCTCCGCCGCAGTCCATTGGCTCCCCACGACTGCCAATCAAAGTCGCTTCCCCGTCGGGGGTGGGGAGGCCCGGTGCGCGCGCCCGCCGCTGGCGCGCGCTCCCCGGTGGCCGTCGGGGACAGTCAGAGCCACGCGCGCGGCCCCGCCCCCCCGGCTCTCACCCCAGGAGGCTCCGACTGCCCCGGGGGTGGCCCGGGCTCACCCCGGGGGCGGCGGCTACCCGGTATGCCCGGCCGCAGAATAAGCCAGGTGTCCGAGTGTAGGAGACCGTGACAGGAGCACTGCGGAACGTGGCAGGGCGCGGCGGGAATAACACTGCGTCCGTGTCCCGTTTCCACGGCGGGGCACCGTGAATAAGCAGATGTTGTTCTCCGAAGCGAAATGCGAGCGACTTCACAGATCCCGGGAAGCGTCAGGGACTTTTCCGCGCCTGGCAGTGGTGCAGGCGCTGATCCGCTCCGTCGGCACTGCTGCACCGGGAGCGCCCGCTCAGGGCCGGGCCGGGCCGGGCTCGCAGCTGCCCCGGGCACGGGCTCAAGGACAGGGACCACCTCTGACACGGTACTGCTGGTTTGGTTACACCGCTCTCCGCGGAGCCACGCGGTTCTCGCTCAGTATCAGAACTGTTACTCACGCCTTCGCTTATCTTTCGGATGTATTTGTTTTAGACAGAGAACTATTTCAAGTTTCAAGCAGCCGCCACCACCCTGACCTTCCTTCGTCCCTTCAATCTTTGCCTTCGCCGCTGGTTTCTGCGTTTCCCTTCCATCTGCCCTTCTCATTGCTGCGCCTCCAGCGCTGTCCCTGGGGAGAGCCTGGTTCGAGGACAGCAAAAGCTCCGGATGACTGGGTAGGGCTGCAAAACAGTACTTTCCTCTTGGCCATATTTCTTATGCAAGTCCACATATAATCAGATCGGCGCCCAGTCTTCCTGTACTCTTTCACTCAGTCTGTGACTCATTAACTTTAGTTCACTTAGATTAGTTGAGTAGGATTTTAAGACCATAACACTGTGATAAAATTTATCTTCTGAATGTCCTTGACAAATGGATTTGAATTAATTGCTATTAACATTACTGTGAAATTTGGCCAGGTTGGTAAGCTTCCTAAGATTGAACGTGATTTCTCCCTTCCCTAGTCTCCCTTTCCTCACTCTCCTGTGTTGAAAGTTAACAGTTCACATTTGAGAGGAGACATCTTGTAATTTTTTGTTTCTTTCACTTCTGACCAGAGCTGCACTTTAGTTTTCTACAGTCTCTCTCACTAATGTGAGATCAAGCTTTCTTTACAGCACACTAGAGGGGACACATACAATCATAAATACAACTATTTCTGTAAGGAATTAAGCTTCTATTTTCCCTAGAGCATTGTCAAAACTGGAAATGCTCCATGCCAGAACACCTAGACTTTCTTCAATCTTACATCAAAATAGACATTAATCTCTTTGTTTGCTCAAATAATGCTCAAACTTGATCAAAGATGGAAGAAACAGAAGAGGATTTCAGGGTAAATGATGGAACAGAGCTCATACTACGATGAAAGAGAATTCCAGTTTGGCAGAAGTCAGAACCTGCAGCCTGGGGTGGACTGGCACAGAAAATCCCCAACTATTCCACACAAAGTTTATTGAATGCTACCACCTTGTGCCCCAAAACCACTCCACTGTGCAAAAACCCAGGGCTGATTGCATCTATTCTACTCCCTGTGAAAACCAGGGCCCATGGTTCTTATCTTAGGCCAGTTTGGGGACAATTATTGTAAAATAAGTAAGAAAGGTATCTTCAGGTCCCGAATCTGGTGGCACAAACTATCAGACAATCTTTTAACAATGAAGAAAATATTCTTCAAATCAGCTATTCCCATGTATTGACTTAGGTAGGCTGATGTACTGCGTATACGTTATATATATATGTATAACATATAATTATTTATATTACATTATAATATGTACATGGAAATTGTATATAATTTATTACCCTATTTACATATATTTTACTGTATTTCCAAATATACATTTACTATACTTTTTATATAGATAATATATATATATTATATAGAATCTAGAATATATAATCTAGACTATGTAATACACACACACACACACATATAGGTACAATAAATTTAGCCCTTGTATCATAGTGGAAAGGCAGTGTGTTGTTTTGGGAGTCACCTTCATATGGAATTTCAACTCGTTGTGGCTTCCAGGGGAATGGAGATTGATCAGAAATGAGGAATTTACACATTCCTCATTTTTTGTACAAACAACTGGACTCAGATTTTAGTACAGCCTCAGAAATAACAATTGTGGTTTTCAGTGTTTCACTTAAACATCTTTATGATTCAACTAGCATCTTTAAAACGGCTACAAAATATGTTTATAAATGCTATGAAATAATTTTGAGGATTAAAAAATCAAGACTATTAGCTGGAAAAAATAAAGCTTACCAAAAGGCAATTTTTATGAAAATCTTAATTTAATATTTGTAAATTTCTCAAGGTGCCACTTTAGGGAATAGTACTTTTGAGCCTGCTGAATATTCTTTCCTGCTTGCAAGATGTTTTCTATCCTTTTGACACTTAAATGAAAAATGTCTAGACACCTTTGGAAGTTAGTAAGACAATAAAGGTTACCAGAGTTTTGAAAATACATTTTTAACTGCCAAGTTTTTACCCCATTCCAAGTGTAGTATTTGAAACAATTTGTAAGCAACATTATTGGAGTCACCTTAATGTACTTTTGGAATCAACATTATTGCTCTTCCTGTGAAGAAAGCAGAATTTGTCTGCACTGGGGTTAATATACATGCTTGTACAGTAATTTGACTGCATTACTTATAGTAACAGTTTAATGTCTGTATAAATATATACAGGACTTGAGGCTACATGCGCTGAATAAATACATATATGAACTTGAAAAACTGATTGGGAAAATACACCTCAAAGGTTAATAAAGTACAATTTCTTTCAATTTATCAAATGTAAATTTGCTTTATGTACATTTAAAGATTACATTTTTCTCATAGTAAATTAAAAGAGATTAGTGGTCTAATTTTATCTATCATCAGCGATGCAAGATCCCAGCAAGATGACACTATTATGATGCCATAAATAATTTACTTATGTAGAGAATCACACTCCACCATATTAATAATTTTGATTTTGGTACTTTGATGTTTTTTTCCTAGGTATTAAAAAGCAGTTGTTCTCTGTACATATTCAGTTCAGTAAGCATGTGACATCCAGTGAAAGATTAACTTAATATTTTTCCTGAGAAGAACAGCTGACAGTCTCTCCAGCCCCTCTGGTGAGCACTTGATTCAGACTGTAAGGAACAGGACAGGAAGTTTGTGGGGGGAAAAAAATCCTCTCATTTTAGATAAGTATCCCACGGTTATTTTTACTTTTAACACAATCTATTTTTAAATATGCTTCTTGTTTCTTCTGCTGTCCTCAGAAATTCCATGTGTTGTTTTAGGCACTAGTACTTTCTCTATAAAGAAATTCTGTCTCTTGCCTTCACTCAGAAGCAATTTTGTGTTTCTTGACTGCTGCCATAACATTTCAGAATTCTCTTCAAACTCCTTCTCTCTTGCTAAGAAACTCCATGTGTTATAATCTTTATTTACACTTCAAATGTAAATTTAAATCCTGAACCATATTTTGATTGCAAATATAATGATGTTACTGACTATATACACTGCCCAATGACAACGAATTTCAGATTATTAAATTTAATTCCACTCAAATCAATTTCACTGTTTTACTGCCCAGCTTTCACTGGGAAAGAACCTTTCAAGTAAAAGCCATGTAATTGTCTGAAGTACTTTTTGTTGTCTCCTTGTTTTTCAAAAGTGTTTTTAATTACTGTTTCATACTGTCCAAACTTTTCTATTTTACAACAATTGTCTATGACTACCTTGGATGTGAATTATTTGCTTTTAATAGGTACAAAATTGCAGAATAATTAAGGCATAGAAGACTTTCTGTCAATAGCAAAGGTATCTATGTGATCGTCATTCCTGGGAAAGTTCAAGTCTGGAGAGCTTGCCTAGGCAACTTAAAAAAGGTGGAAAAACATAGTGTCTAGCCCACACAGTTCAGAATAAAAAAACCCATTTTTTCTAAGATATTAATTTATGATCCTATTTCCTCTTAATAATGGAATTTTAAACAAAATTGTGGCTAAAGTAAGCTTTTCCCAGCTATCCGCATTTGTTTTCTGCAGAGAAGACAGGAAAAAAGTTTCTGTTTGTTTTGTTGGCTTTTTTTTTTTTTTTTTTAAGAAGCCACACAGGTCAGCAAAAATGGATACCTCTGCACCACGGGGAACAGAGTCCTTCCCACTGACCCAAAGGCTGGAGTGAACTCCTGTCATAAAGCAGGCACGGAATGTCAGCTCCCTTCTGTAATTTCCATCCAAGTCAACGGAACAGCAACTGCTTGAGCAACAGCACCAGTTTATAGTGCCACAGTAAAGCCCTTCCTTTACCACAGATAAATGAGCTCTCTGCCTGACGTGCTGCTGATGAAATGCAGGGCTATATATCTTCTGTGAATTGTCTGCTGTTTTGCTGAGTTTATAGCAGGAAGTGAATCAGGAGCCAGGGACATTTTAGGCAGAAGTCCTATTGTAAAGCCAACAGTAACAAAGTAGCTTTAGGAATATACTGTTTCTTTTATACTAATTAAGTTCCTCAAGCCATGTACAGAAGCTATTCTCTGGGAATCTTATTAATTTCTTCCATGTCAAAGAATTAATAGGGAGAAAGGTTAGTGTCCAGGAAGCAAGCCCCACTGTTCAACTCTAACAATAAACTCCTTCTACACTGATGCCATTATAACAATTTGTGTAGCTGTTTAGAGCTTGTCCATTTAATTCTTCATACAATACTGTCCTTATGCTTCATACTGGAGCATATGAAGAACAGTATTTTAGGACTGAGACACACATTTATTATCAGCTCTGCCTGGCAAGTTATTATACTAGCTAAAGTCAGAACTTTTGAGAACCGTTATTTCCGATTTATTTTGCTCCCCTGAAAGCCAAAACAGTTTCTTTGTGAGATACATTTGGAGGATGACTGGCCCAAGGCTGCAGTTAATTACTCAGAACTAAGAGCTTATCTGCTCGCAGTAACTCAGATTTAAGTCCTCTCAGTCAGAGCTGAAACAGGTTTTAATCTTTCGGAGAATCAGGCTCCAGCAAAAAGAGCTACCTTACCTCTGAATGAGAGCATCCACATGAGGTTTGTCATCTTTTATTACACATGTCAGCATCACTCCTGTAAGTCAATTCCCCTGAACTCCTGCAGCAGACACCTGCCTCAAGCAGGAAATGCATCTCCCTCATCACCTCAGTTCCAGCTCTTAGCAGAGCATGCTCCAGGCTCTCACCAGCCTGGGCACCACTTGGTACCATTAGTCCTATCCTACTACAGCAAGAGATTTAGTTAAAGATGCAGAAGGGAAAATGTGAAGATTTTACCTCTGAGTAAGCAACTGAAGTTTTTCCCTTTCAGCTTCTCTTCCTCCTAACTTCATTTTCACCTTTACCTTTCAAGACCAGGCACAAACCAGCATCTCACAGCATAATATCCACGTATCATCCTCTTCCTCCTCCCACAGAACTATTAGCTATGACTGCTTTTGTTTCCTTGGCACCCTCCAAGTCTGCAGAAAAGCTTCTTTATGCACACTCATTCCAGCTAACACTGATTCTTTCCTTACTCAAATTCCTTCTGACAATTTTTCAATGAGCCTTAAAAACAGACATCACACAGCAACAGAGCTTCCTAATTTTGAATTTCTCAAGAACATTTCACTGACGTACACAAGGCCTCAAGTTCTCCATAGAAAAGGAAGAATTTCTGCTCACTTACAGATTTTTTTCTGGAGCATGTGTTGTGGTTTTAAGCCCAACTGGAGATGAAACACCACCCAGCCACTCACTTAGCTCTCTCTCTTCCCCTTCCCACACTGGTGGAATGAGGAGGAGAATTGAAGTAGAACTTGTATGTTGAGATAGGAACAGTTTAATAATTAGAAGTAAAATAAAATGCAATAATAATGGGTAGTAGTAGTAATAGTAATAATAATGATAATAATAATGAAAAAAATCACAAGTGATGCACAATACAACTGCTTACCATCTGCAGACCCCCCTTCTCAAACCAAAATCAGACCTGTTGACTAACTCCCCCAGTTCAGAGACTGGCCATGACATTCCACGGTATGGAATATCCTAGCCAGTTCAGTTCACTTGTCCCAGCTGTGCTCCTTCTCTCTTCCTTTTGTGCACCTCCTCACTGGCAGAGCAGGAGACAAGACAAAAAAATAGTCCTGGACTTAGGATAAACACAACTTAGTAAAAACCCAAAACATCAGTGACTTATCAATACCACTCTTATTCCAAACACAAAACACAGTACTGAGAAGAAATTATCCCAGTTGAAACCAGGACAGTTTAGTACTGATAACCAGAAAACCAATCTTGGTATATTAGAATTCCATGTTATTTCAGTTTTGCTCCTTAAACTCCTTTTACATACATATGTTTTTAATGTTAGAAGTGAAAATATAATTAGGCCTTCAAATGTCAACCTCTGCAAAAAGCCTGTCAGGAAAATGAAATGAGGTGAAAACAGTCTGATGTATAAAATCACTAGACTATTGTTTTTAAAAAGAAAATGAAATGAGATCAGGAAGAGAGGGTCACTGCATTTGCAATGTCTTTGAATTCTTGTTCTTTAAAGAGAATATTGCATGATTAAATTCATGTTTGGGTCAGCAAGATAAATTACTAGTAATACATTAGTTGGAGATATAACTAAAATGTGGTATCAACATTTGAAACCTTAATTCTAGTTCTGAGATTATTTACTACATAGTCAAAGATTCCTATCAGGTTTTTATTTTCCTTTTCCCCCCTAGTTAGTAATATTTCAATGCTTTTATTTTGAGGTAGTACTGATAATTTACTAGCTATTTTACAAAGATGTTCCATCCTCAAGTGTTTGAAATATGCTTTCCCAATACTACACCGGGTCAGAGAGAAGAATTTACATGTTTAGAACTGACAGGTCTGCTACAAAAACATTTTCCATATAAAATACTTCCTTACAAATAGTTTATTTTACTTAATGTATCTGCTATACACTGGGACAGAAATCTTTGAAAGCAACAGCAAGCTTTCCAGTCCCGACTTTTGAAATATTGAATAGTGAGGATGCAAGCTTAAATGAGCTGACCCTTTCTAAGCCAGCAGAAACCCTCTAAATAATTACATAAGAATATCCAGTATATTAGCATACTACATGCTAATATATTCAGTATATTACACGTATATTAATAATATTACAGAAAGTGCCATTACTAGTTTGTGTTGTTAATGTCTGTGCTCTGGAGGCCCTGATTCAACTCACAGCTTACATGTAATAACACCACTGCCCATACAGAGTACCACCAACAAACCAGTTTGGAAAACAAAGATTATTTAGATGCTATTATGGTTATTGGGTCATTGTGAAATTACACCTAGAAGTATCCCCTGGATTCAGCCTCCACAGCCTTCCACAGCAATAAATCCTAAAAACCCAGAACAGAGTGCTACTGTTGCAATACAAGAATACTACAACAACACATCCTCTGTCCCAGCCACTACAGAAATTACTCACAAGCACTGACAGAAAGCTTCATTTTTCTTCTATCACAGTGCCCTTGTTATGTTACCTGTCTGTTAAAAATATAATCATTACTACAGAATACTACTTACTACAGGCCCACAGTCCCTAGGGCTGTTACTACTTCCCACTTTATCCCTAACGAGTAGGGGTAAAACCGGAAACATCTGCCCACTAAAGATCAGTAATTAAAACAACACTATGATGATTAACACATCTGACTACACCTCTACTTAAGAGCAGTTTGCCTGTCAAGGCTCAAATATACAAGCAAGACTCACAGTCAGGAATTGAGAAAAAGCCTCCACCACCAATAAACCCCACACCAAAAAACCCAAACAGAAAACCCCAACCACAAAATATGAGACCTGGAATTTAGGTGAGCTTTACCATCCTGCAGTGATCATCTTACCTTTCACTTATTTATTTCAAGAGTCAACTAGAATTGTAGGGGCCAGTGAGAAGATTCAAAGCTGATGAAGAGAGAATCAGTTAGATTTTATTTTAGTGGAATATACAAGATGAATGAAGACTGTGCTTGGAGTAACTCAGCCTACAGATTTCATTCTTTACTGCCAGGATAAACTCCAGATTCTCTGTAAGGGTATTGGTCAGTCCAGCCCACACCTGCCCTTCCTCCCCAGCACAAGCTGCTCTGGCCAGACTGTGTTCAGCTGTCCTGAAGACCATGGTTTCCTGCCCTCTTCTAGGAGGACCTTCCAAAACAGGTGAAGTGGTGAAGTTGCAGGTGGTGTGGTTTAGGTGTTCAAGAAACTAAAAACTTTGGGAGAGCTAAACCTTACCAAAAAAAAAAAAAAAAAAAGGAAGACGGGAGGGAGAAGGAGAATAAAATCAACCAATGCATGTTACTATTTATAAATAACCACCCAGTATTTGCTTGAAAGTCAAGTGGAAGCAACAGCCAATCACAGACCCCACTAGTTTATTTATATGCTTTGATGTTAGAAGACTGAAATACCCATTTTTATCTTTTGCTCCTTAGTTTTGGTAGCTAAGTTTTGCATCTTAGTTTTGGTAGCTAATCATCATAACTGTTATCATAGCTACCAGAAATAGCTTGTCATGTACCACAATATCTTTGTTAAACAAAATATACAAAAATATACAGATATTTGTGTTATATACATGCATAAATACACTGAGAGATTCTGGTGCAAATGAAGATTTATCATCAGCTTCAAGCAATGAAATTTATCACAGTATCTGGTTGTTCTGTTTTTCACAGACATGCACTATCTCAAAATAAAAATTAATGGCTACTGAAAAAGTCCATCAATATACCATTGAAACACTCCCTCAGTCCATAAAACTTCCTACCTTTAAAGAGTTAGCAGCTCAGAACACTTAAAGGAAATAAAAACCTCCAACCCTCAGCAGATAAAGACTTGCTTTTCAATTTGTTAATACTGGTTATAAATCAATAGCTTCATTAACTGGCAACAGCCTCAAGTACATGTACTGCTATTTTTTCCAGATGCTCATCTTTTATGACAAGAATCTGAATCATCACTGTGAAAATACTAATGTTTACCACCATCATCCTTTTATAGAACCACAGCTTATTTATTATAGGCAGGAAGGGATAGGCTACTAGAGGAAATGAATACTATCCAGAACAGCAAGGAGCTTCTTTCAGATTATGCATGTGGGTTGCCACATTTACAAATAAAGTTCTTGATCATTATTGAGAATTAGTTTATACAAATCATATAAACGTAACTGTGTATACATACACAGTCTATAGCTATTGTTGTAATAATTATCAGGTCAGTATATGTCTAGTACAGTTCCTGGGCTTGGAGTGCTTGTTTCACTTTTCAAAGACTGTTTTGTCTTTGTCAGTATTTCCTACATGCAATGTAGCAAAACATAGCAATCTGTTCCAAAACTTCAAGTTATTCTTGATGTCTTCCTACCAAAAGTGTAGCTGTTTTTCTGTCATCACTTCCAGGTGGCTACAACAAGCTTTCCTGAATCTCTTGCACGGCTTCCTTTGAGCCCCGAGGACTGCCCAGGACGACCCCGCAGGTCACGATCAGTCCCGTCGCTCTGCGCCATCTCTTCATCATATCTGCAGATGAGAAAACCCCTTCAGTGCCTTGTGCTGCTACACAAACAGCAGTGGGTCCTGTACATTCTACATCTACAACTGGAATTTGATACAAGCTGCTCTGCATACAGCTGCAGGCATAGCATGACATGCAGCTATGAATCTATAATTTTACAATACAGATCATCCTGAAATATCTTCAGCCCCTCTTTGAAATAAACAAGTCATCTGGCAGCTCTAGTTAAACTCCTGAGTTTGTGAAATTTTGTGCTTATGAAGTTCCCCATGTACTTCTGCAGGTCTGTGGTTAAGCAGAAAATCAGCCTGCTGCCAGTTTAAATAACTCCTGAGCTATTGCTTCAAAGGGAGGATTGTTAGCTGCAGTGTTAAAACTCCCCTGTTGCATCACAAAGAGAAAAGGGAAAGAATGAGGTGAACTAAACAGCCATGTGCTCAAACAAAATGCATTTGATGACATGTATTTGGTAACACTTAACCACAGTGATGAGTGGTTCTGTAAATATCTAAATCCATTATAGCCTCAGATAACTTTAGCATAAACTGATTTTTCAGCTGCTATGCAAATTCCAAGCAGAATTTGTTACAGATAGGTAATTTTAATTAAGAAAAGATAATAATAAAGAATTTTGTAGGAAAATCATAAAATACACTTAGTTATACTGTTTTATATGTATTCATAGCTACCATGTGTGTAACATTCATTAAATCTTAAATCCTAATTCAGACCGCTTATATTTAACTGCTTTTACTAATATAGAGGAAAAGTATTTAAGATGAACATGAACTAGTGGATCAACTACGTACATAAAGTGCATTCCTGACATACTGAGCAACTGCACCACTAGTGCTAGAGAACCTATCCAAATGTTTTCTCAAAAAAGATGAGAAACTGTGTCAGCAATATGGTATTCAAACCAGTGATCTTCCGCATAAAACCAATCAATCCTAAACAAATCTTGCAGACATCCCAATATAATAATCTCAGTTTCCTTCATTGCTGTCCTTATAATACAGATCAAGAAATTAAAAAAAAAATCTGACCATTCTATTATTTATTATTACATTCATTATTCACAGGACTCAAGAGATATTATTTCTATGAACTGGGAGCAAATTTGCATCAAGTAACTTTTAAACCAGAACCAACTATTTTAACTTTTTAAGTATCATGTATATATTAGCCTCCATACAATTAAAGTTCTGCATATGTAGAAGACAAACATTCTCTTTCCTTCTGTCCCTCAGTTCTAGCTGCTGGAAGCTCAGAAGGTGCAAGCAGGAGCTTATCAGGCAACATTGTCTCTGGACATGAGGCAAAGAAACTCTGCTTTAATGCACTCCCACCTCCAAAGCAGGTCCAAAGAAAAGAAGTGGTACTTTGTGCCCATTTTTCATATGAGAATGAAGTTTACCTTATCTTTTTGGTCTACATTACACATCAAAAAAGTGAGGTGAAAAAAAAACATTGGCCTTTCTATGAAACATTGATAAAACTTACAAGACTTCATAATTGCCCAGAACCTCGTTTGGTGGAGTTTTATTCCATTTGCAGTCAGGAATTTCCCCGTTAGGCACAGCAATATTAAGCGTGTCATTAATAAGATTATACTTCAAGATGCGATCATTAGCAGTGCTGGAAGTAAGAGAAGGGGAAGCATTAACCTACAAAAGGAAAAAAAAAAGCAGTCAGTATCAGTTTTTGGAGTGTCCTCCAAACAGCATGTGTGATGGCTGTGTGTACCATACAGGAAATTGAGCCTTGGTGGCTCAAAGCATGTCTTTCAGTTCCTCAGGCCCTAGAAGGAATTCCCCACTGGCCATTTTTCGTTTCACTTGGACAGGAAAGTAACCACTCTGTTAAGTGTCTGTAGTGTCAGCCTGAAGATTTCTTTTGCGATGAGATTCACCAGGGTGAATCAGACAAGACAGAATTTTAATTTCATTTTCTGTTTACATGGTTACAAACCCCATACATTTGAGTCCTTAAAATTTGCCCAGTTTACATGAATTGCTGTTGCACACAGAAATCTGTGGCTCTCTTCTGGGTAAACAACTTTTCTCTAAGTTCTTATCTGAGTTTTCCCCTGTTATATTGTGAGCTGGAGAGTGCTCTCTATTCAAAGAGCCACATTGTATCCTGTTTTAATTAAACCAGGGATTCATTTAACATATCTTTGTTCCACATTTATTTTGGAAAAGTAGTATCAGAACGATAAACAGAATTTTTTTATGAAGTTCACTTCAAATTAGATTGAGAAGGAAGTGGATGGATAAAGGAAGAAGGATGGATAAAATTTATATTGAACATACAGAGCTAAAGTAAATATATGGAAGAGAAATTTATGTAAAAAATAAAAAAGCTTTCCAAATATCCTAATTATATTTAGTATGCCCCTTTTGTGTCCTCTCAATCTGTAACATTAAGGCTATGACAGCATTTAAAAATTAAATTTGATGTTTTGCTCCATGAAGTCAATGCCCATTTTCCAAGTACTGATCCAGCATTTAACAGGGCTGCAAACATTCAGACTGCCTCTGAAGTGCAGCTGTATGGACGCACTAGATTTAGAAACCAAAACAGAAAGCCATAAACAAATAGAAACACAAAAGAAATAGGAAAGAAAAGCACATGGTAGCTTGGTCATCACATGGCCTATCTCACTTTCCAATATTTTTCTTAATCCATTTACCCGATAAACAAAAAATATTGTTTAAAAAGAGGAAAGACTACATTGAAATCTACTTAGTTTTATTCTGTGAAATGAAAAGGAAGTTTTTTTCCTGTATTTTATAGAACTTTACCTCAATTAGCCAGGGTTTAAGCTTGTCATCAATGATAATGTCATATCCATAACACTCAAAGCAGTGTTTATCATTATTCATTACAGGCTAGGGAAAAAGAAAATACAGTAATATGTATTAAAATCTACTCTTCAGTAAGTAACCCAATTACCCACTTTCTTTGCTAGAATTTACATGTAATGACATTATGAATCTTCTACAACGCTCTTTAGTATTGTAACTCAAATATAAGCTTGCTAACTAGTATGTTCAGCATTGCCTCTTTTTCTGAGGCTGGATGTAAATATTTCAATACTAATGATTGCATTGACGCCAAGTATTGAGTTATGTTAATTTCCCACTATGTCTCCATAGTGAAAGTAAGTGTTTTTATACTTTGCAAAAGTAATAACTATATTTAAAGGCTGCATGCATCAGGAGAAAACAAAGTTTGAAAATTTACAGCTTCATTTTGAATTCTTTAAATTTTAGAAAAGCAATTCAAAGACATTTCTTTTATTCTGCTGCTGTAACCATGCAGAAATTTTAGATCAAATAATTACAAAATACATTGAAAAATTTTAATTACTCAAAGTAACTATAACACCAAAGCCAAGAGAGACCAAGAATCAAGTTGTGCTTAGATGCACATGCTCTAGAGAACCAGGAGCTTTCCAGCATCTGCTAAACATTTGCTGTATGCATGGTATAATACTTTCTTCTATGTGAAGCTCATTAGATCTTTCAGAGAAAACTTAGTGAAGGTTTCTGAGATGTTTTCCACATAAAGAATAATGAAGCTTTTAATTTCTTCAGGACTGAAAGAGAGGAGGAGGAACAAGAATCTAATTACATGTGTCATTGTCAGAAGGACAGAGGAACAACAGACTTCATGCTCCATCATTTTCACTTCTCCTCTTCTAAGGTTTTGCTAACATTTGATTATATCCCTTTTCTTCTCCCAAGTACCTTCAGATATGATTTCCCAGCATATGCCAGGTTAAGGCATGCTTCCCCAGCTCCCACTGATCCTAGCTGCATGACCTTGTCCCTGTTTCTTGTGCTGATTCTGGTGTTCATCTGTTCCTTCTGTGGCTCAGCTTATTCCCCTGGCAGAACACCAAAACATCAATAAAGCAAGGTAGTAATTGTCAGTGCACAAGTGAGCTGATTCAGCTCTAAATGGTGCCAGGCCCAGCCCAAAAAAGAGGACAAGACAATGTACTTGGGACCAGGAAAGTCCTTGGCAACAGTGAGTTCCTCAGTTACACCAGCTGACTCCCAGAGTGCTACCTGTCCTGTAATGTGATCACAGAATATTACCCCAATACTAGAAAGTCACTCAAGCAGAGAACTGGCTGCTGCTGCTTTAATTTTATTTTTTAAAATTAAATCATGATAATTCTGTGACATACATAAAAGTAGTGAAAGTACATTATGTAACTCTAATGACCTAATAGCCTTAGGTTTCCTTTGATAAATTGTTCTCCAGAGGTTTTTTTTCTTTGACACATTTGTTATTGCTGGAATGACGTCACATATTTTGGCAGAACTTAATACTATTCACAACGGCAGTATCAAGTCATATTAAATAGTTCATAAATCCCTCAAGGAAAGAGATTTACTCACTCCTTCAAATATCCACAGACAACTCAACCCACTCACCCACCCAAGATTCAGTTCCCTCATCTCAAGAGGTTTCAAGAAATCAAGAGGTAAGAGAGCTGCAGAAATCAGCATCAACACCATCACTCCAAGAGTAGAAAAGAGAAGCAGGGATTTGAATGGCAAGCTCACTTCCATGGTTATGGGAAGCCTGCAGCTGGAACGCTATTGCTGGCAGCACTCACCGCAACAGCCTTCAGGGACTGCACAATGATCCAGTGAATTTCATCAAATAATTTGTTGGTGACTTCCTTTCCACGGGTGCTCTCCAGGTACAAGCGTAAGTTACTCACTGTCCACTTGCCTCCATGGATATGGTTGTAATCATCCTGAAGAGTTAAGGAGTTCACTCAGACTAAGATTTTGAAGTTGTTCAGCAGGTTTTTTCTCATCCTTACAAAAAGTCCCCTTATATTTACAAGTATTGCTCTAAAAACAAAGCTGGCTAATTGGTCTTGCAGCTTCATGAACACCAACTTTGAACTGCCCTCTACATAAACAATTGCCTTTATTATAGCCCTAATATGCTTGTATCGCACATCGTAAATAAAGTAATAAATCATTGTTAGGAGAAAAAAAACCTGGGTACTTGGACAGTTTTATAATAAAGTATGAGTTATTATTTGGAAATAGAAGTTTTAAAATGTGAAAGAACTAAACACTTTGCTCCTCTGGGGATAAGGACAAAACAATGAGCAACAGCAGAATTTCACTGAAGGTAGTTATTGTAAAATGCAGCACTTGAAAGTGTTTGTCTGTGTTTCTTTATTTAAAGTACAACTTACCTATTCCCTGGTATCTTCTTAATGGTGCTACTTCAAGAAGTTACATTCAAGAACATAGTGAAATGACACCTGAATTGTTTTTAACAGTTAAAATTTTCAATTAATTCAGTACAAAACCCCACTAAGTGCTACTGAAACTCAACAGGGGGAAACAGGAGGTTACCTTATGTTGTCTTTTCAGAAGCTATCAAGGCTGTACATTATTCCTCTTTAAATGGAAAGACAAGAGCAAAGTGAGGGCTGTTCACACCGAAGGAAAGGCACACGTTCAGCCCTCAAGGTTCTCCCAGGACAAATGCTTTGTCCCTTTATAAAGTGTTCTCCTCAGAGTATTTCCGAGAATTAATAACTGTATGTCTGATAAATTACAAAACCCGGAATGCACAGGGCAGAAAAAAGCTCTCAGAAGAACAAATTCTGTCATCCTCTAGGACAAGGTCAGAGAAGCAGCTATCTTATTATTAGGCTTTCTCCTATAGCTCCCTCATTAGTAAATTTGGAGAAGTGGACTGTACAAATAAAGACCTGAAACATAATTCTCAGGACTTGCACCATGGAAAAAATGTCTTGAGACCAGATTCCAGCAAGGGAACAGAGATCAAAGTTTCAGCCCTCTTTGCCCTTCAGAACAAGTACTCAAATCAAAACAGATTGCAACTGGGTAGAGCTTTACACAATCACAGTTGTTTCATTGAAGATATTAAAACAAAGTGAAAATAATGATGTATAAGAATTATTGTTGTTTTGTTTGTATCACACATGCATTTTCCAGCACCTCATCATGCTTTTTATAAATTACTGAAAGGTCAAATTAGGTACAGTTTTAGAAGACTAAAGCTGTGCAGTCCAAAAGCCTCCAAAGTTACACGCACATTTAAAACAGAACAAATAGGATGGGTAGCACAGCTTTACACTAAACTTCCCTTCTGCCTTTCTGCAAAACTGAACAGATATCAGTGATTTATAATTTATAAAAAGCTTTTCAAGTATTCTAGTAATAATTCTAAATTCTTAGGTTGCTACTTTTATACCCATTTCTCTTGTCCTTTATTCTAAGTGACGTCACCATCACGGTCACTTATCTGGGAAAAACCTTGAAGGCCATTCTTTAACTGGTAGAGAAGATTGAAGGGTGCATAATAACAAGGCAGGCAATGTACCATGTGCCTCACATCATCTCTCTACTGGCAACACCGCAAGGATTTTTTCTAAAAGTTGTATGGGACCAGCTTTCACCATAAGTAATTCTCAGTGTGCCCCGTCAAACCAAAATATGTTTGAAGCCCTTCACAAATCAGCAACTGAGCAATAAAATGTTTGTAGTACTGCAAAATGGTATATTTGACCACTTACCCTGGTTTATAACTACCAACATTATAATTTACATTATTGTTACAGCAATATCCACACAAAAACAGCACTGCTATGCTGCACATCTTATGGAACAGTAGCAGAGAAGGCATATTAAGCCAGGTTTCAATTTAAGATATATTGCATATATCTTGTGTATGAGTACATGTGTATACCTACATTAATATAATCAGGAGCATGTATGTGTGTGTGTCCATACATAATATTTTCCATACCATCAAAATAAAGCTTCTGGCATTAGGAAGTGCAACAATAGAGTTTTAATGACTGTACCAGAGGCATGGTTTGTAAATCACAGATATCTGCTAAAAACACCAATGGGTCAATCATTATCAAGTCATTCCCTGAAGGAACAAGACCTGGGAAGTGACACTTTATCCCCTCTATGTCACCCCTGCCCCACTAACCTTCCCTCCCCACTGCTGAATTTCAGCCTACTTTGACATGAGGAAGGGCTGTCAAAGCTCTCATGTTTCCACTTGAGTATCAGTAACAAATTACAAAACAGAACTGTTTTGCAGGCAGAGCTCCATTTTTGTCCATGCAAAAGGAAGCCACCAGATGGCCAGGCAGCACTTATTTATCTCATGTTTGCAACTCTACATTCCCTTTGTTTCCCACAGAAGGAAGGCAGGGGCACGAGGTTGGGGGAAACACCGGAAGAAGCTGGAAAGTGCTGTGATGAATACGTGCTGGAAAGAAGAAATTTAATTAACTGCCAGAGAGAGAGAGGGAAGGAGAAATGAGGAAGGGGATATTAAACCACTATTATAAAGTATATATCCACATGATCCAAGCTCATTAATCTATTTGTTCAATTCATAAGTGAGCATGTTGGCTTTTAAATGAAAGGAGACCCCTCCTCTCAACTACTGTGAGTCAATACTGAAAACATCACACTCAATTACAGAGCTGCAACTCATTATCTTGACTTCTGATTTGTGGTTTTCTAAAATGTCTACATTCTAAAATGTATTTATTTGTAATTGCAAGATGAAGTATTTTAATTGCAAGATGATGAAGAGTATGACAAAACCTTTTGATTCCAAGTTTCTGGGACAACTAAGGAAAATCAGTCTTGCTACAAAAGAGCATCTAAGAAATCAGCACACTTACCCCATGTTTCTGAATGGCAACATTTGTAAGATGTACAAACATGTTATCCAGTTCACTTGTACTTGGTGTGTATTTCACTGTGCAAAAGCGGCAAAACCCAAGCTTATACCTTAAATGCAAAAAGTCATTAAAATGTGTTAAATCCCTGTGAGAAACAAGTAAGTGAGCATCCTAGGATACCAGTTACTGGTTAAACTTCCTTGTGCAACACGCACAACATTATTTTGACTACACTGGACATTATCTCTAAACAAAATACAGACATGCAATCTTACATGTAACATCTCAGTGGACGATAGGTAGACACCAAAACATAAAGACGAAGATCAAATTTCTTTCCACCAATTAGTAAGGGATTGTTGATGTAGAGTGAAATCACATAGGCTTCTTTGGAAGACTGAGACACAAACCTGAAAAACACCAAACACATCTCACAGTATGATATTTGCAACAATACAATCCCTGAAGTATTTTACTTCTTTAGAAGTGTTCTGTAAATTTCGAGTTGACTGAAATTTTGCATCTTTTGTCAAGATGGTGTATAAAGTTGTGGTGGTTAACAATACACACTTGGCATCAGGCCTTATCCATTAAAAAAAAGCTGAAAATACTATAGAGATGACCAAGATCAATTACCCATTTAAACTCACACAATAGCTGACCAAACCATTCACAACGCAGCTCTACAAGACAGCCTTATTCCCTTGAAGAGAATTTAGAACTTGGCAAAGTCCAGACAAGCAAAAAGAATGTAGTGCATTATCTTCATTATTCAAGGTCTTGTACTACTGGAATATTTGCATTTCTGCTTGGTGTGCTACTGCAAACCACTGTGAAAAATTAATATAACTTTTAGATTGTGACATTCTTCAGATTCCAACCAAACAGGGAAAAATACTCAAATGATATTCAGCCAGTCACTCGGTCACAGGAAAAAACATAAGTTGTGTGATCAAAACTTCTAGTCAGAGAAATACATAAAATTGCTAACCTATTTCATTCATTTGAAAGGAGATCATGAACATGACATGCATTATATTGTGTTCCAAAAGGAAAATACATTTATTTCATAGAAATGCATTCTTATTTTGTACTAATTTAAAAAGTGATTTAATATATATTAAACAATTATTGAAATTGCTGAGGTGAAGATTTTTCTCTTGCTTCCTGTTATTTAATGCTGTGAAGCAGAACATTTTCTTTCTGTGCAAGTTTTCCCCCAACAATACTGAAAGCAATTTATAAAGAGTATTAATTGAACAGTTCTGTGTACCTCCTCATACCAAAACAAGTTGTATTATAACCAGTTGAAGGAGGAAGCCAGATAACAACTGAGATTAAATGCAAACCTAACTATAAAATTACAAAGCAATAATAATAATAATGGCATACTTCTCCCATGCATCAGACAATCAGCATGTGGATGCAGTTCACCTAATTACAGAAAGTACAATAAAGGGCTCAGTTTCAAGAACTTACGAAGATGTTTTGCTGTCTCGAGACCATTTTTTTATTTGGGAGAGTTTGTTGATTAGAAATATTCCTTTTCCTTGAGCTTTGCCACAAGGTTTCATAATCCATGTGCTGGAGGGATTCTTTCTGAATTCTTCAACAAAGAGATTATAATCAGCAGGAAGCATAAAAGTCACAGGAACAAAATCTGAATTAAGGGGGAAAAAAAGGGTGCACAATTACAGACACTATCTGACAGGCTACTGACACATAAAGACTAAAAAAAGAAAAGTTCTGTATTTTCAGTTTTCCAGGATCTGGCATGATCCACCTTCATTAAGATCCATGTTGCTTTTTATCTCATTTACTTACTAGTTTATTCTTAAACAATTGAAAAATGTTGCACGATGCTAACTTCATAGTAATAGATTCTAATTCATGTGAATAGGCTTTCTACTTCCATTTATATGCTGTGCCACTACAGTATTAGATACCATTTCAACAAAACAATTAAAATTTCTCAATTTCCTCAATCAGCTTCTACCAATCTTTATCATGCTCTGTTGCAGGCAAAAAAAACCCCTTGGCTGTGTAATTTTTATTTCCATGTAACTCCCATTATTCTTATTTATTATATCTTATTCTGAACTCCTAATATTCTTCTTTGCTCCCACACTCAGTTTTACCATGATTACTGAAACCTAAAGAAAAACATTTTTCACTTTTTGCTATGAAATAATCTTCAATTCCACTCTTGAAGACCTGCCTTCTTACATGGATGAAGTGTTTTCATTTCACTTCCAAGATGTAATTCACCTCCGCATATCTCACTCTTACTTCAATGCTTTCTCCAAACCAACTCTGCTTTCCTCATCCTGATCTATTCTTGGTTTAGTTTTGGGGTTTGAATTTCTCGGGTACTTTTTTTTTGGTCTGGTTTGCTTTTTATTTTGTTTTTTAGCAGTCATTATTAGTTCCCCAACTTCTCCCAAATTTCCCCTCTGAGGTGTTTGTTCATTCAGCTCTGTCTAGAACCTTCCTTCAAACAGGTTTAGTTGTTGCTCCATTGTAAGATTTTCACATAATAAGTTTTTCACTTTTGAATTAACGAAATTGTAACCCTCTCTCATATGAAGTAGCAGAGCCCTTTGGTTTCACCACTAACCTAACTGCAAAGTATTTTAAACCCACAATTTTCCCTCTCCAAAATAATTTTTAAGAAACCCCAAATGAATCAAACCCAAAAGCGGGACAGAGCACTTCAAGGTAGCCACTTTAATGTCATAACATTCCAGAGTTTCAGTTCTTCATGCATAAAAAAGCTGGTTCTCTTCCAATTATTGACTCTCTAAGAAAACAGCTGAATGCTGAAAATAAGAACATACCCAAATAAATATATTTCCCATTTTCATCCTTTTCTGCAAGAGGACTTCCCTCTTTCTCAAGTTCTTTTCTGTATCTCTTAATATTCTTTACCATCAAATCTTTTCTGGTCAGTTCATAGTGGTTTGGGAAATGATTGACAATTTGGTCATCAGAGAGGCGGTAACCGGTTTCCACACTGAACACATTTCTTATTGTTTGGACGCTCATCCTGAAACCAAAGATAGACACCAAGTGATTTCTCTCAAGAAACACACTTCAGAACAACAAATTAGAGATCTTTTCCCTCCAATTTCTTAATCTTTTCTCCTCTCATTTCTCTTTATATTTAATATTTTGCTGCAGGGACAATCCAACATATCCTGAAGTTCTATTAACAAAGCAAATTAAATCCTGCTGAAGGTTTAATCAGTCCCTCCACTACTACTGAAATTGGTGCAGGAAGTGAGTACAGAAAGATGACAAGTTGGTCCTACTGGACTCTGGCTTGTTGATAGTCAGGTCAATCCCCAGCAAGGCCTAAAAATTACTGAATTGCACCCAAATGGTACAGAATCCTCTTTCTAAATCTCTTACTTCACGCTCTAGAAACTCACCTTTCCTCTTCAGAAAAGTCACAAACCCAACCTCTTAGTGACTGACTTGCTACTTGGATTACAAAAGGAATTCAAACATATGACTTGAAAACTGGTTAAGAGATCTTGCTAAAAACACCTGTGTCGTTTAGTTATAAGCCAGATGAAAGTGCTGCAGTGACAGAGTCATTAAATCAGTTATCAACTACACTTTTCACAGAAGATAAGAGTGGGGACATAAATGCAAAGAATTTTCCATATTAGATGTCTCAATACGAAAATTTAAGAATATTTCCTGAATGCTAACAATCTGCTACATTATCATTTCAGAAAGAAAAAAAAACTAATCCAAAAGAATAAAACACAGCAATTTCCATGAGTGTTGCCCCACTCTCCCAACTGCATTCCAAAAGGATGAGCAGATTACTAGATTCCTGCCCATTTAGATTCCTGCCCATTTAAATAAGTGGTTCACAAAGGGTACACCTGGCAGCACAAACTGCCATTCTGATGTATTTCAAAGGAACATCATAAATTGTTTTGTTTATTTAAAGAGTACTGTTTCTGCCCATTAATAGACTACTGCATTCTAGGACTGCATTTCATGGGCTTATAATAGACAAACACCAAATGAGAAGATTATTTACTCTCCTCCTTTTACCATAATCTTGGTCTAATTTCTCATTCACTCTCAGTATTGAAATGTTGAATAGTTAGCCTGAATATAAATCATTATCATGAAGAGAAGGAAAGTATAGTTTATTACAGAAGTGTGGACTCTGGTAACAGGGCAAGCCTCCATAACATTGATTTTAAAAATTGGGAATTGTAGCATACTTACCAATAAAAATTCCAGTCTTCATTTTCTGCCACCTGAATCCACCCTCTTTTTTCGAAGTTGTTTATTAGAACAGATTTTTCTATGTCAGTTACCCACTTTACTTTTCCTGCCATTATCCTGAAGTGGAATCAACCTGTTCATATAGAAAAGTTTAAAGCTGAAAATAGGGGAGGATACAGGGAAGTAAAAGCAGAAGAAAAGTGGCACCTAGAAAACACTTTCACATAAGTATTATTAGCTTAAAACCCAAGGAAAATAACACCTAGGCTCAGACTGAAACCCTGCACTTGTCAGCTGGAGAACTGCACACAAGGACACTGGTTACAGGGAGGGTTTTCACACTCCCCACCTTTTATAAATAGATACAAAACCTTCCCTTAAATATACTACTGACAGAATCCCCCTATTCTACACTGGGTAATATTAAAAGAACCAATACAGACATTACATTGTTTCTAACTTAGGAACATATATTTTTGCTTTCTTTGGAAGCATGAAAGTTCATCAGGATCTCGTGGTGCCTATAGAATAAAAACTCATGATTCCAAGGGAAATCCCTTACATGCTCTATCAACAATCAAGATTTGCAGTACCTCAGGGGAGGGGAACTAAAGTTACTGACCTTGCAACTGGTATCATTAAACCCTTACAGGAGGATTTCCCTAGACGTCAGGCTGTTAATAGAGTGCTTACAAACTGCAGTTCAGCTCCTGACACCAGATGTCACTTTCTACATTAGATCTCTCACTTGTCCATGTCAGCCTTTTGTTAGGATCACTTGACCATTCTGGCAGGAAGGGACCCCAGAAAGTCCCCTGGTCAGCCTCCTGCTCAGCGCAGGTTTAGCTACGAGGTGTGGACAGTTTTACCCATTTATGTTTTGAAAAGCCCCAAATACACAGACAGCACAGCTTCTCTGGGCATCTTATCCCACTTCCTCACTGACCTAATGGGGGTGGGGGTAGGGGGTGCTTCTCCCAATATTTTTATCATTTTCCCTACATTTTTTATTCTTACTTAAATTACTTTCCCAAGAACAAAACGCACTGTACAAAGGAGTGGGAGAGAGCTGGGTTATCACACATCCACAAGCAACCCCATGGTACTGTCCCTTCTACACACAATTTTGTATTGAGAAGTAATTAAAAAATAAAAGCACCTTTACTAAATGTAGTAATGTAATTAATGAATGTTAATTAAATTTAATGCTAATGCCATTTCTGCAAGTAACATGTTGGACTGGAATTCAAGGGTTCTTCATTTTCCAGGACTAGATATGGGAATGTACATTTGCCACCAAGCTCAGGCCCCTATTGTTTCTTTCTGGGAGGTATAACCCATATAATCCCACACAGACTATTTATCCTGTCAAATCCTACAAAGGCAGAATGTTTACTCACAAACTTAGATTTCAGGAAAGTTTAGGACAAACATTTTTGTTCATGTTGGTAAAGCAATCTGAAATCAAGCTTAGATAGAAAAGAGTATACAAAGACTCAGGGTCTGTCTTCTTGTGTGTGCTTTTATACAATCCCTAGTTCTATAAGGTCATGATCTTTCTCCGGGCCTTCCAGATATTACCAGAACAAAAGTAAATGAAACAATTAATTATTTGTACTGAAGTTTGCATAATCCACGATCAGTGACTCACTAATACCACAAAGCACCTTGCTGTGGTTTTAAAAGTTCAGGGATTAGTCTGCTTGCAATACAACTGTCCCTTCAAAAGGAAATGCATTAAAGGCTACAATGGTATTAACCAACCACAATGTAAACTTTTCAAAAGGCTTTAAACCAACATTCTTCACATCTCCAAGCTACCCCAAGAGGTTTACCAAAATTCAAACCTAACATTATACCTGTTTCTCTGACTCCTTGAGCAATTCACACTCAGGAAGATGAGCTAAAATTAAGACAGAGCTAAACACTGGAGACAGCTAACACTAGAAATCAAAAGAAAAATTGTAAGAGCACAATTCTTTTCCTGTTTTGGGATCTTGGTGCCTCACCTATCCCTCCTGCAATAGAGGGATTGAAGGCAGACTGAAAATTTGTCCTTGGTTTCTGCAGAATTTAATAAATCTCAGATGATGTTTAAGTGGCCTGTAAACAAAATCTTCCAATTTTGTACAAATTGATCGCCGAAACCAACAAACAAGAATGCACAACAATTAATATAATTTTAACGCAATGAACTTTTCTAGAGGAATCCTCTAATCTGGAAATAGGTATTCTAGATAAACCAATGAGATTGCACATGATAGCTACACATTCAAACTTCTGATCAGCTGAGATCCTTAGCTTCACAAAACATCAAAGAAGAGCTGCATAACACATCCACAGCCTTCACATTTGTAGTAAGTCAAATTCTTCACAAAATACCAGAGCTCCTACTCAAGAGACAGCAGGCATGTGACAGAGGCACAGCAGGTCTGCCACTTCTCCAAAACACTGCCTTTCCTGCCCAGACTACTTCCACTGGCAGCAAAAAAGCCTGGCAGCAGCCTTACCCCAGGTGAGACCTCTTGCTCTTGTACAAATTGATGAACTGAGATCCAAAAGCAGCCTGGCTGGCATCACCACCACTCTAAGGAGCCAGTGGTGCTGATGGCAGACTTTTCACACCGCAAAATGGGGGTGAAGCTGCGCCTCCAGCACCCGATCCAGCAACCTCTGTTTCCTTCCAATAGTACAAAATGTAACTGTGCTTCACAATTAAGTTTACTACTGGAAAATCCAGTTTGGCTGTGCCGTCAGAGGAGGCCAGGAGGGCCTGCTACGCGATTCCCGAAGCGTTAGGGAGGAGGAGCCCAAGACTGGAAGAGACACACGGCTGTGTGTGCGTGGGTGTGTATGTGTGGTGATGTGTGGTGATGTGTATGGGTGTGTTGGGGATGTATGTGGGACAGGTACGGGGCTGCGGAGGAAGGAGATGGGACTGAGAATGTGTAAAGGCACTGTGGGTGTGTAGGGGGGATGTCGGGGAGGAGAACGACACCCACGAACCACCCCACGCTCACCTGCCGGCGTGAGCCCGGCCGCCGCACCGCTCAGCCCGGGCCGTCCCCGCCGCACGCCGCCATCGCCCCGCCCGTTCCGGCCCCGCCCCGGGGCGGGGCTGCCGGGGCCGCCGCCGGCCATGTTGTATGCGGGGCGGGGCGCGGCGCGGAGTGTGGTGAGGACGGGGTCAGCCCTTCCCCGCGGGACTGGGAGGTGCTTCAGTCCTGATGGGGAAGCCCCGAACTCGCCCAGCCACCTCAGGGTTGTGCCTGCTGTCTGGGGATGTTTTGGTCTCAAGCGTGTGCGGCTTGGGCCTGCCCCATCATCGGGAAACACGTCCCTAGCAAACATCAGTCCATGAGTAAATGGGGGTTTGTTAAAGGCCGTCACGTGACAAAACCTTCCCGATGTTACCGGAATATAAAATCACCGGGGATACTCAGATGCCAAAGCTCAAGTCCACGTTTGAGTGTTTCAGGTGCTAAAATGCTCCTCACTGCACAGCTGCAGGAATAGGTGGTTTTGCACAGATACTGTTCAGAGGAAGCAGGCAAATTTTCACCCAAAAATTTCATCACAGAACCCTAGACTGGTGATGAACCCTGATGAATCCCTGATGGGATCTTAAAGCCCATCCCGTTCCACCCCCTGCCATGGGCAGGGACACCTTCCAGTATCCCAGGTTCTCAGAACCCCATCCAGCCTGGCCTTCCACACTGCCAGGGATTGGGCAGCCACAGCTTCTCTGGGCAACCTGTGCCAATGACAACAACAACGTGGTCACTAGCTCTAATTTACTCAGTGAGAGCTGAGTGAGAAGAATAGCACCTAAGAAGTTATGGTTTTAGTTCCTCTGTGGAAAAGCCTGATCTGTGCATACAAAAATCCTTCCAAAAAGAGATCATTAAGACTACCTGCTATACATGAAGGTCACCAGACCTTCAAGCCCATTCTGTGATGGGCTTGATACAAAACAATAAGATACTACATAGTGAACTCCAGAGATCTGAAAAGTCTTTGAGGGAGACTCTGTATGACAAATTACATCTAATACTTACTTTGTCTCTGTAAGACAAATTACTCATTAAAAAATAGATACATTAAGACAGTAGCTGAAATAAGCAGTTTGCAGTGTGTTGGAGTACAGCCAATTCCTCAGAACCTTAATTCCCCAAATAATCTGACTAGAATAAATATACATTATGATTTCCTGGGTGATGGTACAGTAATAGGGTGTTTCAAGGATGCAACTGCAAGGAAGGAGTTAATTTAATAATTAATATAATCAGAGCTATTAAATATTCCCTAGTTTAGCTATGAAAGCAGCTGCAAAATGCAGTGTCACGTGCATGGCCACATGCAGTGGAAATTTCCTAGAACAATACCTCTGGCAGCAGAAGACAGCAGCCTTCACAGCCTTCTTTTTATCAAGAAGGTATATCTGCCGTGGCAGCTGACAGCAAGAAAAGTGAGCCTGAATCTTTATGCTGGTCAGTCCTTTTTTGTTTCTGCATCCATGATACCTCAGAAGAAAGATGAAAGCTCACTTTTAAAATGTATTAAATATTTCATTCAGGACAAAAACAGTTGTTGTGTTGGTGGGTGGTTTTGGTTTTTTTTGTTTTGTTTTTTTTTTTTTTTTTTGGGGGGGTTTTTTTTTTTTTTTTTTTTTGTTTGGGTTGTTTTGGGTTTTTTTTTTTTGCGGGAGGGGGTTTGAGGAGGCGGTGGCGGTGATTGACGGGACGGGACAGCTTAATTCAGCAGTTTCAAGTTGATGTTACAGCTCCCTAGTATTAGATGTTGTTTTGCCGTTTCTCTGAAATTTACACTGACAGTATTACATCACAGCTAATAATAGGTGCTGTGGTTTTCAAAATTAAGGCATCTCCACTTTTTAACATTATTGTTAAAAAAGGGAAGTGGGGTATAATTTGAGAGCAGCTCAGTGGTGCTTACTATTATTGTATCAGGAAATGCAGTGGCAGCCCTGGTGTGCTATCTTTGTGACAGAAATTACTCCTATGATGACATTTGGGTATTTTATTTTAAGCTTGAGGCAACTCACAAGGTTACCTGTATGTGCAAAATTCAGCCTGGTGTCAAGAGATTAACTATTATTGATTTGAAGTGGTAAATACAAGAATGGAAATATCAGAACTGGTGAATAGAAGAAAGTCATGGCAAGCAGTGACAGTGCAGAGGTTAATTTACCTTTTATTATATTGTACCTTCGAGGCAATTTTCTTCCAGCATGTGTGAATGTAAACACAGCACAGTCCTTGGCATGAGTTGGAAGATAAGCTTTGTCATTTTCATTTTACAGATGAGTAAACCTCTTGTACGGCACTTGAAGCGGGGAGACAAGGGGGGTTCTACTGCACAGTGCTGAAAGAAGTGGTTTGCATAAGACACACACACACAACACAGTCAAACACTTTTATACATTTAAAAACTTAGCCAGGAAAGTCTTAAGGACATCCCAGCTCCAGGTGGAGTGCTGTATCTATGCTGCTGTTCTGCTTCTCCTGGTGTTTACCTTCACTCAGGGAGATGAAATCATACTATAAATAGAGGGCAAAGTCCGCTCTCAAACATTACCTGGTGAAGTCTGCTGTTTGACATGACAATAAAGTGCAGAGCAATAGCGGGATTGGTTCTTTAGAGCTCTTTTTCAGTACACTGTGCTCTCTAGTGATGGGTGATACTGACTGAATCACAACACTGCTATCACCAGCACAAAAGAAAAACACCCAAAGTCCCATGACCTCACTAAACCTTTTGGGCAAGGTGTCAGTAGCGTTTCAGCAGATCTGTCTCTCTTTAACCTCTCAGTAAGTCTGCATTGGCTGTGCTGCCAGGGCTTCTATTCTCTGCTCCACACCCTTTTTCCTCAGGTACCCTCGAGACAGTTGGGGATGCAAGTGTATTTTTGTTGCTAAGCTGAACTAAGAGGAAAGCCTGCTCCTCCCTGTTTAAGAGTGAACACCACCACCACATTCCCAAACCAAAGCCCTGCGCGGGTTCCAGCATGCTCAGCGTGCTGAAAAAAATCCACATTGGCCCACTGGGAGACAAGAGCAGCCATTTGGAACAGGGCTCTTTCTGCAAAAGGTGCCCGCAGGGCCTGCTCAGGCCACTTGACATCTCCATCGGTGCGGCAGCGCTCACGCACGCCATGGCGGCTAGGGGGCCGTGGTGACCAAGAGCCGTAGTGGCCACGCAAGGGTCCATTCCACCATGGCCACTGTCCCACCTCGGCACAGTCCTCTCCCGGGGCCATCCTGCCCCACCGGCTCCCCACGGGGCCCACGGCCCTTCCCGCGGCGCCGGCAGCGGGCGGGCGGAGGAGGCGGTGGCGGTGTCCCCGGCGGGGCGGGGCGGCGCGGCCGGGCCGGGGCGGGGCGCGGGTGGACAAAAGGGGCAGTCGGGCAGGATCACCGCCGTGAGTGGCCAGCGCGGGGGGCGCGGGGAGCCCCCTCTGCTGACGCTGCTGTGTGCCCGCGACGCGGCGGGGACTGCGGGCCCAGGTGAGCGGCGGGGTCCCGGCGGGACACGGGCGGCGCCTTTCCGCGGGGGGAGCGGGTGGAACCCAGCCGGGCTCTCCGGGCAGACCCAGGCTGCGCTCCCGGGTCGCCGCGGAGTGCCGGCGGTGCCGGGACCCGCCGCCTCACCTGCGCGCCTGGCCTCGCGGCGTGCCCCGGGACGTTTCACGGGCAGCACCTCCGCATCTTCGGCGCCGGAGGCGGGATCGATGCCCTGTTACAAAGGCGGCGGGCGGGGATGGACGCTGTGCCCGCGGTCGGGGAATCGTCCGGCCCCGGCTGCTCAGCCCTGGCAGGGACCTGTGTCCTTCAGAAGGATGCTGCGAGCACTCGTGCGCTTTGTACTCAGCTTCGGTGTTCTGAGCAAATGAAGAGCGGAGTGCGTGTACTTTCACTCTTAGCAAAGCAGGAAATAAGCCCTCAAAAGAAGTCCAAGATATGTAGCAAAATATGCCAGAGTTAAACATAAAATATCACTGAATAACTCGTTTACAATATGTGTGTACGTTTAAAACGGTGCTGTTGATAAACGGGAATGATCTGCAACAGCAGAGATGAATACAAAAATCTGTACAGCACCTTAAGTCATTTCACAAGGAGTGATTTCATCAGCGTAGTGAGTTCTGTGATTAAACAGATTTTGAGATGTTCAGGTGGAAAGTATTAGCCTGAGATTGCTTCTCAAGGCCATAGCAGAAAGACAGACACATGCATAACAGGAAGACAGAGTAGATTTCATTGTCATTTTCTGTCACAGGTACATGGACAAAGTTATTTTGAATTAAAATATTGTGGGCACATTAATTTTTTTTTTAATTTAACGCATGTCAGCTGAATGAGAGTTAGCAGTGAGTATAATGAAGAAGAAAATCAGTATGTGAAGTGTTTGATATCTTCTGCTGTAAAAATGTCACCTCTGTAGAGACACAATCTCCCTGAAAAAAGAAATTTAACAAAATTGCCTACTTTTCCTGTTTGGTACATGTCTGGTAGTTATTTTTAGTGATTTTTGTATCAATAAGCCATTGACTATAACATCATTTAGAGCAGACTAAAAAAAAATTGAATGTACTCAGCTTCTGCAGGGTAACAGCCTGCTGGGCAAAGCAAGAGCTGGTGGGAGTAGAATAGGAACTGTGAGCTTGACCCAATACAGGAAATCTAAGTAAAACTGGAAACAGCATGGCATTTTAATTCTCTGTACTGATGTTCAGAACAAGGACAACATCAATACTGAGACAAATTTGAATTCTTTGACTCACAGTCACACTGCATATTAACAGTTTTTCTCACTTTTCCCAGTGTGGCAGCAGTAACTGGGATTCCAGAGGCATCTGTAGAAGATGCCACCAAAGGTCTTAGAAGATGCTGAGTTTTCTGACCGAAAGTCCAGTGAAGTGTCCCTAAATGGGACGGCTGGAGGTGCAAGGTGATAGTGTGGGTGCTGTGCTGTGCAGTGCTCAGGGGACCAGGTGAGGGAAAAAGCAGTCCATAGCTCTCCCAAGTGTGCCAGCTTTTTAATATTATGAATTATCAGGTTTAAATTA